TGCAGGTCCCGCACCCGCATCGCCACTCCGCACGTCGAAGTTCTCCTGCCGCGCCGGCGCCAGCCCCGCGCTTGCCCCCGAAGAGGCTGCGCAAGAGCTCCGTCGCGAGCTCGGCGTTCCCTGGGCGGCGGGGTCCACGACGCCGCCCCTCCACCTTCGTCCATTCCATCCTTCCCAGCGAGGCCCGCGACTAGAAATGAAGGGATGATAAACAAATATATGTATGCAGAAATGTCAGCCTTATATCCCGCTCAAGGCGGCCTGGGCAGCGTGGCTCCAGCACCAGCCGCCGCCCTCCAGCGCGGCCGCCGCAGCAGAGAGCAGAACAGAAGCGGCCTCGGATAAGCAAGTATCGCGAAGGCCAAGATGAGTACGAGAAAGGGGCCTACGGACCGGCCGGCCGGCCGCTCGCTCGACCTCCTGTCCTCCTCCTCCTCCTCCTCCTCCTCCTCCTCCTCCCTCCCTCCCTCCCTCCCTCCCTCCTCCCTCCCTTCCCTCCCCTTCCCTCCTCCCTACTTCCCTCCTCCCCCTCCTCCTCCCTCCTCCCTCCTCCTCCTCCTCCTCCTCCTCCTCCTCCCTCCTCCCCCTCTCCATCCCCCTCCTCCTCCTTCCTCCTCCCTCCTCCCTCCTCCCCGGATGCCAAGCCGAACCTGGCCACGAGGGCCGCCCAGAGGCGGCCTCGAAAGGCCGAGAACGACAGGCGCAGAGAATCCGACGCCCCGAGGCCTCTTGACCGCGGCTTTAAATCTCGAGCGCGAAAGATACCCGTACCCTTACCCAGACGGGGTGGCAAGGGGCCCTCGGGGCATCACCCCCCCTGGGTCCGGGTCGGCTCCCGAAACCACCATACATACCCGTACCTAGACGGGGTGACCCAACCACCACCCCAAAAAAACAAAAATAAGAAAACAGTATGAACCCCAAGCTCCAGATCAGTATCTGATATATATATATATATACTATACTAACCTATATACTAATATACTACTATAACCTAGACTACTGTAGTTGGGCGACTAGCTAGGGGGGGTCCGGGTATGTATGGTTGTTTCGGGCACCGACCCGTGCCCAGACGAGGTGGCGGCAAGGCCGAAAACGCTCTAGCGGGCGGCCCTTTTCACCCCAGCTGACCCCGGGTCCGGGTATCACAGCAGGAGCTCGACCGCAAGAAACCTTCCACCAGAAACCCCATCCCGAGACCCCAGGACGCCCCTAGACTTTTTAGACTTTTTTGGCGTGGGAGCGCCACGCTATCCACAGCGAAAACGCCGTCGAAACCCAAGACGTTCCGGGCACCCTGGAGGCAATCACGGCGCTTCTTGGCAAGGGCTTCCGCTGCAAGCCCGGCCGCGCAGGCGAGGGCCCCCCTATGGGACGGGCAGCGGCATCGGCACCCTCGGCAAAACCTCCGGCATCCCGAGGCTCTCGCGGGGTTTGGGGTAATCCAACAGGGGGTCCAGCTGAAAGGGGGTGGTGTACCAGCTTGGAGCCGTTGTATTGCACATGTGTTGCGCCGGAGGACTGCGTTGCAGTGTATTGCAAGTCGTGTTTTGCATGCGAAAATCCAGCAAAACATGTGCGCCCCGGAGTGTGTTGCACGCCCCAAATGCATTGCAACCCCACAAATCGATTGCACCAAATCTATTGCACCACCCCCTTGCCGATGGACACCCTTTTGGGTCAACCCGAGGGGTGGGCCCCCCGGGGGTCTGGGACTCTTCCCGTGGGGCTGGGCGCCTCATCCCGAGCCGGCCTCTTTTTTGACGAGCGCGTTCCACTGCTCGCAAGAGTATTGGCTCGCAGATGGCCTGGGTTCGCCGCGGGGGATTCCCGATCCGCGACAACGAAGCAAGCATTTGTTTTGTTCAGACGTTTGCGAGCGGGCACTTTGCGAGTCGTTGAACGCGCTCGGTGATCTTTTGGCGGCCCCGAAGCCGAGCAATGGCTGCCAGAGGCCGGAAGAAGTGACATGCCGGCCGCTGTGTGTTTTCTGCTTGCACCTGCGCGGGGCGGATCTGGACGCCCCAAGTGGGGATAGTCAGTGGACGCGCAAAGTGGGTCAGATCTGGCCGGTCCTAGCTCGTGAGAGGGTGCCAGTGCCACGCACGGCCTGGGGAGGCTACGATCTGGGCCAAGTGGGCCCCGCGAGCTTAGCGGAACTATCCAACCCAGCTCAACCGCTTCCGGCACCTGTAACCCGCGTAGAGATAGGTCAGGCCATATATAACCCACACTAGCATCCGCTCATCAACCTCACATCCCCTCAACATCCCCCACGCCGATTCAGGTGTTGCCGCGCCGAGGGGATGGTCGGGCTTGGAGGGGGCCCAGGTGTGTGAACTGGTTGGGGCCCTCGGAAAGCGGTCAGGAGGGGGGATGAGGAAGGCAAAGCTTATCAAAATCGGTTTCCGGACCCTCTCCCGGGTTGTCTATCTGGTGTAGCGTTTCACCCCGGGTCCGTTTTTAACAACCCTGGGGCCCGAAAACGGCACCCGGATGCCGAAGAAGACGAACAACCTGTTCGAACCCAGCGACTTGAACCTCGCCCACCCCCTCCTGCTTGTTGGAACCAGTGCTGGGCCACCTGAGATCCCTTGCCGACTCCAAGTAGAAACGTTTTTTGTTTCGTTTTGTTTTTGTTTTTGTTTGTTTTGATATATCAACTCTGACGAATTTCCTTGCGTGGAGGTGGAGGGGGAGGGTGCCGTGGCGAGGCCCGAAAGGAAATTTTGACTTCATGCACGTCGTGCTCACTTGCACCTCTTTTCGGCCCAGCGCTGTCTGGGAATGCGACATACCGGGGGGAAACATAATGCCAGGCAAGGACAGAAGCTCGCCTTAATCTAAGGCAAATCGCGCTCTTAGCAACCGCGCCGATTTGGGTGTTGCCGCACCGAGAGGATGTCTGTTGGCCGCGAGCCCGGGGGAAGTGAGAAGGAGCAGGCCTTCTCAGACGGATCGGAAGTCCGCAGACTTGTTGGACAATCTTCTGAGCCTTCCACGAAGACGCAGCAAACCTCTCAGAAGGAGCCAGGGCTTCTGAGAAGCCCCGCCGCCTCCTGAGAAAGCCTCTTCCCTCTCCCTTCCCCCCCTCGCTCGCCGAGAGGATACCTGGGGAAACCACAAAAGACCAATACCGCTACTCCCCAGACCTCTCCCGTGCTTCGTTACATCGATACGTCCGCTTTGGGACGCAACACGTACCATGCTCAAAACGTCCGTGTCAATGCGCTGCGTGTTGGCTCAACGTATTGGTCCACGTTTTGGACTCATCGCGCCAAACCTACGTTTTCAGCCTACTTGTTGAGCTCCGTATCAATACGCTACGTGTTGCGTGTTGCGTATCGGGGCAGCTAAGCCCCCGTGGTTTGGGACGAATGCAGCGGTGGCGCCCAGGGCCTCCCAGGAGGCCCACAAAAGGGGAAGACCGAGGCAAGGATAGCGTTAGGTCGGGCATGTCCCCTACAGGCGGATTTTGGACGAACAATTTGAAAGACGCAGAACATGGTGAAACATTAACAAAATGTAGTCAAAAAATCGTCCCCGGACCATTTTTTGACTATTTTTTGAATTTTTCTCCTGTAGCGGTATGAATACCATGTCCTCCTCTGAGCTGCCGCGCCGAGAGGGTGTCTGGGCCTTCCGTGTACCACCACCGTGCCTGGCCAGAGCCATCCTCGGCCCTGGCACAGTGTACGCGCCCTCCTGGCCGAGGCCAGGCGGGTATATACACCATCGTGGGGCGCGGGATGGCCCTGGCCAGGCACGATGGTGGTGTACAGATGGATGCCTTCTGCGGACCCTGAGATCCGACGTAGCGAACACAATTGCAACATCGTGGAAGATCGCGCCCGGAGCCCCACACCCCACCTTCCCGCGTCATTTCTCGAGCCGGATAGATCTGTGAGGGTCCCCAGGCCCGAAAGAGGGCGAAACCCCCGAATTCCGAAAGAATTGAAACGCCAGAGCTCCCGTGCGCGCGGCCCCAGGATGAAGGCCCGGGGCGCGTGAGGGAAAGGAACGACCCGGGGACGAAGACCCAGGGACGTGGGGTGATGGGCCTGTTTTCCATCACCACCACAATGAGTTTGAGGGGGGAGGGGGTCCTCCTCCCCCTCTTCTTCTTCCTCCTCCTCCTCATCCTCCACCTCCGTCCCCCCTCCAACTTATGGTGGTGGTGGTGGTGGAAAACAGGCCCATCATGGGGGGAGGGCGGCCCAGGGCGCGAGACCCCGGGCGCGCGGCCCCAGGGTGAAGACCCGGGGCGCGCGCGAGGGATGAAGGAAACGGCCCCGGGATGAAGACTCGGGGACGCGGGGGAGGAGCAGCAGAAGCAAAGAAAGTGAGAGGTTAACCTGGAGTAGCGGAAGAGAAAAGAAGGAGAGAGGCAGACCTTATGTTGCTCCCATCGTGCTTAGGGACCACATCCCAGGAATGATTTTGAGCACCCAGAAGAGTGTCGCAACAAGGTCGACGGAGTAGCGCCTCCCAGGGCCCGGCGCGTGAAAACCCTCCCGCTTCGGTACTCCCTTGGTGCTCGAAACTCTTTCTGGTGATCCAGGCCAGAGCATCGGCGGTGGACAAACCACCCTTTAGTACAACTTCCCTTAGCGAAAACGGCCTAGGACCGAAACCGACGGACCTGAACCCGCAAAAACGACGGCCGCGACGCCCTCTCGGGAACCGAAAACGGCCAATTCCTTAATCGACGTGTCAAGGTAGGAGGTCTATCAACCTCCGATTCTGGTGATCCAGGCTTTGGACGCCCGAAATGGGCACGGAAAACATGGGTACAATGCCCAACAACAAATGTTGTCCCAAACCAACGGCGGCCGCTGTTGGGCAGGCGGCCTTCTGTCTCGAATGGACACAGGCCGCGGCGGCGCGGACAGGGAGTCCTGTTCAAAATGAACAGGAACTGATGTTGGGCATTGTACCCATTCTTTCCGTACCCATTTCGTTCGGGAGCCTCGTGAGGCAGACCCGGGGCGGGAGGAGGCCTGCAGTACTCCGCGGCGCCCTCCAGCGCCTCCGCGCCCAGTGCCCCGCCCGCGCCCTCCAGCGCCTCCGCGGCCATGCCCGCGGGCACGCCCGCGCCGGCGGCCGCGCGCGGCGCCCGCGCGCTCCGGCGGGAGGCCGCCCCGCATCGGGGAGGCCCCAGACGCCCGACGCCTGCTCGGAGCCGAGCTTTCCTCGTGAGTGTTCGGCGGTGGACAGGCCTCCCTGTGGTAAGCCTCCCCTTCGTGAAAGCGGCCCGGGGCCGAAACCGACGGACCTGGACCCGCGGCCGCGGCGCCCCCTCGCGAAGCGAAGACGGCCAATTCGCGAATCGACGTGTCAGGCCAGGAGGTCTATCAACCTCCGAGGTGTGCGGGCGCCAAGTGCCCGGACCCCCGACGTCATGCACAGAAGTCGCGACGGGAAGTTGTTCGCCATTTTGGGCCTCGGGGGGCCCTCGCCGGGCCTTGGGGAGGCCGCAGAGGCCCGACGTCTGCCAAGGTCCTTACATTTCTGTATGTCAGGAGAACAGAGAATCGAATCGATAAGCCAGATCGGCGATCGAAGTGAATCGGATCGGCGGACATCGGCAGCCGAGTCGGGAAAAGTCGGATCGGCGGAAATCGGCAGGCGAGTAGGCCTCTGATGAGAAATCAGAGCCAAATCGCAATCCGACGTCGAATCGAATCAGAATCGTAAGCCACCGAAATCGAATCGAATCGAGTCGGAGGAATCGAAATGAGCCCTGTCAGTCCGCGGGCGCCAGATGCCCAGACCCCCTCGCCGCCTCCACCTTCCATACCTTCCGTCCTCCTCCTCCCTCCTCCTCCTCCTCCTCCTCCTCCTCCTCCTTCTCCTCCTCCTCCTCCTCCGCCCGCCTCCTCCTCCCTCCTCCTCCTCCTTCCTCCTCCTCCTCCTTCCTCCTCCTCCTCCTCCTCCTCCTCCTCCCTCTTCCTCCCTCCTCCTCCCTCCTGCTCCTCCTTCTCCTCCTCCTCCTGTCCGCGGAAGGTGCAGAAGAATTCATCGAAGCTCATGGGAACCTTACGTAACTCACGGAAACCCACATCGATCATATCGAAAAAGGGGCGGTCAGTTAGGGCGGAAGGTCCAGAAGAATGAAGGGGAGGGGACTCGAATCATCAACAAATCACGACGGGAAGCTCTTCGCTAATTTTGGCCTCCAGGGGCCCTCGCTGGGCCGTGGGACCGTCAAACAACGATTCAGGATGACAAACCGGTCCCGGGGAATGGGTCGAGACCTCCAGAGTCGACGTTAGGACAAAAATCATGACGTCGGGGATCTGGGCGCCAAGTGGTCTGCGGGCGCCAGGTTAGAGGCCTCTTGGATGGGGTCGGAGTAGATGGAGTAGGATGATCGCTCCGCATCGGCGATATATTGGCGATGCATCGGCGATGCATCGGCGATGCACCGGCGATGCACCGGCGATACATCGGCGGCGTCGGCGATACATCGGCGACGCCCGCGTGAAGCAACATCGGCGATGCATCGGCGATGCGGCGCCATCCTCCGACCCCATCTACTCCCACCACATCCCGGAGGCCTGGACAAAATATCTTGGCGTTGCGCTTTTTTTGCTAACGGGTGTCTTCGCCTGCTTTTGGCTTCTCAGAACACTACAGATCGATCTGGCTCGAGAAATGGCGCAGAACTGTAGGGTCTAGGACTCAAGTCGTGATAGTGTACGATGTTTCGAAGATCGGTGGCGAGCCCGGGGGGAAGTGAGAAGGGGTGTGCCTTCTCAGAAGGCTCGGCAGTCCCCCAACCTTCTGAGAAATCCGCCGGCCCCCTTGTGAGGCCACCAGGCTGTAGGCCGAAGGTTCGCAGTTTCCTGCGCCAGTTGCAGCTTCCAGTTTCCAGTGTTACAGTTCTGCTTCTTGCTGCTTACTGTTCCTTGTTGATGGACCGCGCGAGGGGGGGAGGCCCAAACGGGCAGGTTTAGCACGCCCTGAGCGTGTGGTCTGAATTGCTGGGGTAGGTAAAAATTGGCACCCCTCGCGCAGATCGGCGGGGTCAGAGTCCCAAAACACATTGGGATTTGCTACATTTCTGAAATTCGGTAGCACCCCTCACGCAGATCGGCGGGGACAGGGTCCAAAAACACAACGGATTTGCCACATTTCTAAAATTTGCTGGCACCCCTCATGCAGATCGGCGGGGTCAGGGTCCAAAAACACATGGGATTTGCTACATTTCTGAAATTCGATGGCACTCCTTATGCAGATCGGCGGGGTCAGGGTCCGAAAACGCATGGGACTCTCAAGATTTCTGCAATTCGGTGGCACTCCTCACGCGGATCGACAGGGTCAGGGTCCAAAAACACAGGATGTGTTAAATTCTTTTAAAATTCGGTGGCACCCCTCACGCAGATCGGCGGGGTCAGGGTCCCAAAACACATGGGATTTGCCACATGTCTGAAATTCGGTGGCACCCCTCACGCAGATCGGCGGGGTCAGGGTCCAAAACACACAGGGGATTTGCTACATTTCTGAAATTCGGTGGCACCCCTCACGCAGATCGGCGGGGTCAGGGTTCAAAAACACATGGGATTTGTCACTTTTTAAAAAATTTGCTGACACCCCTCATGCAGATCGGCGGGGTCAGGGTCCAAAAACACATGGGATTTGCTACATTTCTGAAATTCGATGGCACTCCTCACGCAGATCAGCGGGGTCAGTGTCCGAAAACACATGGGACTCTCAAGATTTCTGAAATTCGGTGGCACCCCTCACGCGGATCGACAGGGTCAGGGTCCAAAAACACAGGATTTGTTAAATTCTTTTAAAATTCGGTGGCACCCCTCACACAGATCGGCGGGGTCAGGGTCCCCAAACACAGGGGATTTGCCACATGTCTGAAATTCGGTGGCACCCCTCACGCAGATCGGCGGGGTCAGGGTCCCAAAACATGAGATTTACAACATGTCTGAAATTCGGCAACACACCCTCACGCAGATCGGCGGGGTCAGGGTTCAAAAACACATGGGATTTGCAACATTCCTGAAATTCGGTTGCGCCCCTCACGCAAATCGGCGGAGCCAGGGTCGAAAAACAAACAGGTCCCGACACTGCGTCACGGCAGCGCCCAGACCTCATGATTTAGCTTTTGCATCTCCCATTCTCCGAGGAAGGGGGCCGGCGGCATGGGACGAAGCCCTTACGGATCGTCTGAGCTTTCCCCGAAGGCACAAAGCACTTCTCAGACGGCGCGAGGACTCTCAAAAGTCCCGCCGCCTTCTGAGACGGGCTTCTCCTTCTCACTTCCACCCCCCGCTCGCTGCCAAGAAGAACATGTACTGCTCGACTTGGTGATGGAAAACCTTCGGGGGCCGAGAATACAGGCAAAACAAACTAAGACTGGCCAGCACGATGGCCATATTGACCACCGCGGAAGTTGGTAAAAAGATAAGCGGATTATAAACGGATGCTCAAGTGGGTTCAATTTGATCCAGGGCTGAAGGTTCACAGACCCCCATCCCCCATATGGGATGGGTCCTGGAGTTCCACAGGCTCCCCCACCCCAGTTGGGGTGGGGTGGCGACGACGAAGACAACGACGACGGCACCGCAGCACAACTCCACACCCACAAAAAGGAGGGGCGGTGGCACTGGCCCCCCCCCCCCTCCACCACGCCATGCCCACAGGGCCCCGACCACCGTGTGGGGGGCCCGAAGCCCTGGATCAGATCTGGCCCAACCTAGCTTATGTGTACGTTGTGAATGCCCTGAGCGGCTTAGGGGGTCGAATCGATTCTCTGGGCTAAGTGAGCGGAACCCACTGAACGAAATTATAAAACCTCTTGCAACCGCTCAGAGCATCTGCGGCCCGCTTGTAAGCTAGGTTGGGCCAGATATGACCGACCTCCGACCTCAGCAACCGCTTGTTTGACCACCTGTCCCTTTAGCATCCCCCGCGGTGATCCAAATAGGGGCAGCGACCCCGGATCCCCGCTGGCTCACCACGCGGTTTGGTCACCACATCTGTCAGGGGCCTTAGCGTTCCTGGAACGCCCGATCATGAACGACCCGAAGTGGTGATGGAAGCGTTCCAGGGGCCAGGAAACCAGAACAAACGAACCCAGCCTAGCCAGCGCGAAGGCTATCGGGGCGGGGGGGGGGCAAGGGGCGAAGCGAGGAGAGATGGGAGGTGGGCGGCAAGGGCGTGGCTCCGCTGAGCGGCACGCTGCGGGCAAAAGCCACGACGTCGGGCGTCTGGGATCTGCGAGGTGCCACGGCTTGCGCCAAGAGGGCTGCGGACGGCCCTGGCCTGAGGGTCATTGGCCTACCGCGCGGTGTGGTCACCACGCCGCCTGGGCCCCCCGGACCTCGCAAGGTCGGCCCACGGCGCCAGGGGTTGCAGCGCCCTCGGCGCGCGCGGTGGCTGCCCAGGGTCGGGGGTCGATTCGGGGTTGTCGGCGGGGATGATTTCCCCCCGAACGAAATCCGGAGTAGGGGTGCAATCGAAAGGCACATCGGGAACCATTTCGTAAGAACATCGTGGCCCGCCAATCGGGACAGACTTCGTAACGCCACGGGTAAATCATCGGAACAACGCGAGCGCATAATCGCAACACGGTGGGGGAGGTGTCGGGGGATACCATCGGGACACCAATGTACATCGATCGGTGCACTGTCGCGACGCAAACGGAGACATGATAGGCACCGTCTAAGTACCACTGCAACAAATGGCACCATCGGGCCAAATTGACACCACTTGGCAGCACAATCGGAACTCAATCAAATGACGCCCTTGCGCCAGAAAAGGACCTAAACAGCTTGCACACTTACGATGGGGGCAACGATGGGGGGTCACGATGGGGGGCCACGATGGGGGGATGGGGATCGGGATATGGATGGGTATAACGACGACACTCGAATCTAATTGAACAGTACTTCGATAGTTAACTCTACCCATCTCGCGTATGCGTATCCACGCAACCGAAATACTTAGTTCGCGAGATAATTCTGTCAACGGCGCTCAGAAAGAGTTCAATAGCGAATTAATTCTTCCCTCCGTTAGAACATGCCTACTGCTCCTTTCACTGCACCAATGATGCCTGCACGTTCTC